AAAAATGCAAGCTGGCCGAAGTCGACTCGGACACCCCGGAATTTGTGGACGCACTCGGGGACCAGGGCAGGTGGGAAACACAGGGAACACATACCTTTAATGCATGCTTCATTACATGTAAGGTATACGTAATTTTGTCAGTGATCACCTTTTCTCACAAAGCGAGATACCAAATCCGGTGCAGCTCGAAAAAAAGCCTGTCAATTTACCGTTAAGCGTTGCCGGCCGTCCTGAATTTACCGTTAAGCGTTATCGGCCCTGCTGAATTTACCGTTAACCGTTGCCAGGACCCCCCCATGCAGACCCTCATGTATGCCCAGTTAAGACCCACATGAAACATCTGAATATTAGGTATGCAATAGTAACGGTGACAAGTTGATGTCACAATCTAAGAAAAAAAACTTGATATAAAGGTCTACCTACCTACATGTGCAGTAGACAAAAATGCCTCAGTATGGAGAAGAAGAGTTAAGTATGGAGGAAGTCTGCCAGGAACCGGTTAGACCAGTGATGATGTACATCGCAATAACAACAGAAAACAGCCATTCGGGGTATAAAATCGTGGTAGTCAGATAGAAATGCTGTCAATAGTTGATCGTTAATGAACCATTTTGGATTATATTGGTTTGTAATGATTTAGTCTTGTCCTGCAGCGTCACGTGTACCATTTGGTCCAAGGAACACCATACTAGGGGTCCTCAAAAAAATCTCTTTGAAAATTGTTGCTTTACCCTTAAATCTCTTAAGAACTAAAAACAATCATTCCAACTATTTTCTTTGTCAGCAACGCATTAGTAAAACGAAAGAACACGTGTCTTTAAGTTTTTAGTTTTTAGAAAAGACAACGATGAAATCGTTAATTTGTTGAAATACCCCGAGCGGCCTCTATGACATCTCTTAAAGGGACTGCAGGTGTGTTGGCTCCAGGCACAATCTCGTTAGGCCTCCGTATGGCCTTATCTTTTGATTTCATACAAATCAGGACTGCCATCCATGCTGTGAATGAGACTGAAAATGGCCAACATACATATGTTTGATATGACAAATTGTGGGAAGGGTAATCTTAAAGCTCGCATTGAAGCAATGGTGAATTGACAAAGCAGGGAATGGATGACTACACATTATTATGTCTAACATAACTTATTGGTATGCACGTTACTTGATACTAGTAGTTCCCTTCTTTCTTCTGGAGCTAGATGTTTACCTTCCTAAACTTTGTTTATATTGGAGTGTAAATAACCTATTATCGTGCCACCAGTACTGCACATTTACGTTTCAACCCTGTGTCCTTAAGTCACAATTATATACTACCAGTTTTATTATGTCTTCATTAACGTTATGTTTGATGACTTTTCACCACTTCAGCAGGGTAATATTATCTTCAGAGGATAGGCCTTTTCATATTATCTGATAAAGAATAATCAAAGGACTCAACTGGACTCAAGTCTGTTTTCATGCGGGTTAGTTTGCTTTATTTGCACCAAAGGAAATAGCAGACCAGGAAACTTTGCCTCGAATCATGTGGCTTACACGATGTGAACACGACTGTAGAGTTTGTCTACAATACGCTTCAATCAGGCTCCAAACTTCACAAAGACTAAACGATTACATCAGACACAATGTCAGGATAACATACATTATGTGACAGTGACGCGAGGTCTCTAAAAAACCGGAGCACAAAAGAGCGGCTATCATTCAATGCAAAGTGTAAGTCGAGTGTAGCCGACCATTCACGATATCATGACAAAATCCCAGAGTAGAGTTTACGTCATCATTACGTCACAGTCTGACTACTGCATGAGGCTCAAAGACGGATAACAACATCGTGACGAGAAACCGAGGTCATTTTTGCGTCATCATGTCGTCATTAAAGTCTATAGCTTCGGTGAATAACAATTAAGGAATAAACAGAAGAGCTATAGTCGGGAGGTCGGTTGACATTATGTAGCTGACCATTCACTACATCATGACAAAATCAGTTATCATAAAAGCAGGGTCCTGTGTATCTATATTGTAGGGATGATGTTGCTGACTGTGTTGGTGTTCCGGTCCGCTGGCAGTCTGTAGTCAGCTACCAACCATAGTTGCCAATGACGATATCTGCAAAGACAACAACATTACTAATTATGTAAATATAGGAGCAAAAAGAATATTGATAAACCGGGCTATAAATCTACAACACATGCACTGCAAGATAAGAAACTTCTGGCATAGACTGGGTCTATATCGTCGTATAACTGATTGGTTTAGTGAAAGGACCGCATTATTATTACCTGTCGTGTTTTTAGACCATGCCCATGGTGATGAGGAATCCACTGAACATTAATCCCACGAGGACCGCTACACAACAGACGGCCTGGTTGTTTATATCCATGATTTCTGCTGTAGTGTCTGCTTTCTTGCAGTCACTCCTGTAAGGAGTAAAAAAAAAATAGAGGCTAGAACTTATTGCAAATCTTGTGAGTCCCAATGAAGTAGATTCAAAACTTAAGATACAAAGTCTTTACCTACTTTACAGGGTTGTAGATGTGCAGTTTTTGGAGTAAGGACATTGTCCAGTATGAACAGTAGTTGTTGTTGTTGTTGTTGTGGGGATGTTGCTGTTTTCTTGCACCAACAAGCACCTGCCTTACCGGGCCATCAGCGTCATCAAAAAACGATTAGCCTAAAGCTATGCAAAACTGGGTGGGGGGATTTTGAAAATTAGGGCAGAAAATTTCTAATGTTTGCAAGTGTTTTCGTTTGTTTTAAGGTTGCTTTGTCTACAGAATCGATTCATTTTTGTCGAAACAGACCACTTTGTCATCCGATGGCAGTTTGATCGGTCTGAACAATAACCAAGACGACGATTACAAGTATATTGCCTGCTCATATATCCTCACCCACCGAAAACTTTGTCATAACCAGCATATACTAGATTTGTCATATAACTTCGGACAAGTACTCGCATTTGGCCTTTTACACGTCGTCAGAGACGAATACAAACTTGGTTAAATCCAAAATGTTCGTAATCCCCTGAAATAACAACAGATCGACTCCCATTGCGTTACCTAAACTTTCCAGGCAAAACATGCAAAAGTTCAGCAGAACCCCACCTTAGCTTTGGCATGAATCTGCTGCGTTCATGTAACGTATAATAGATCAGCAAGTAGAGAAGTACGTGTACTATTACGAAAACATCTATACAGGCTCAGGTAAGACTCATCCTCTGTGATACTCTGATTCCAAGTGACCAAGTTAGGCCGGGCATAAAACATCTGGACACAAAAATAGGTCAATGAGCAAGTAATGATGAATACATATGAAAACAAAGTTACGTCCATGAACTAGTAATGATGCCAAGTTGATGTTTAGCTTTGATTGTTCTACAGCGTATAAAAGTACGTCTACCTGTCGTTTTACCTGTCAATGCGGCGAACAGTCCGTGCAGTAGGAGGCAGAGAATGAGAATGCCTCAGAGAAAATGCCTGCCTTTCTGCAGGCACAGAACTGGTTAGACTGGTCATTATGCGAATTACGATTAAACAAAATTACAGCTGGTTTGCACGCATAATCGCGATATCCTGTGATGAGCTGGATTGGCTCCGCATTCGGGGATACCAATAAAATCCTTGGGAGGGCGGGGCTATACCAAATCCACATACATTGGACCGCTTCAGTTCTCTTCATTCACAGGCATTTTGATTCAGCGGATAGAACTCATGTTATCTGCTAAATAACAGGACTCAAGTCTGTTTTCATGCGGGTTAGATTGCTTTATTTACATCAAAGAAAGGAAATAGCAGACCAGGAAACTTTGCCTCAAATCATGTGGCTTACACGATGTGAACACGACTGTAGAGTTTGTCTACAATACGCTTCAATCAGGCTCCAAACTTCACAATTAAAAAAAAGACTAAACGATTACATCTGACACAATGTCTGGGTAACATACTAGTACATTATGTCACAGTGACGTGAGGTCTCTAAGAAATCGGAGCACAGAAGAGCGGCTATCATTCAATGCAAAGTACCGGTCGGGTGTAGCCGACCATTCACGATATCATGACAAAATCCCATGGTGGAGGTTACGTCATCATTACGTCACAGTCTGACTACTGCATGAAACTCAAAGACGGATGACAACATCGTGACGGAAAACCAAGTCAAGTTTTGTGTCATCATGTCGTCATTAAAGTCTAGAGCTTCGGTGAATAACAAGTAATCTCACACTTTTGAAATGGACATTTGTAATTATAATGTTTGCAGAACAGCAGAAGTCTTACCACGCATTTGTTGAGAAAACGACTGTCGGGTTAAACACTGGTGAGAGACGTTTGGTATAGTACTTGTAACGACAGTGGGTTGGCTATAAACAGAAGTGCTACAGTCGGGAGGTTGGTCGAGTGTCAGCTGACCATTCACGATATCATGACAAAATCCCATGGTGGAGGTTACGTCATCATTACGTCACAGTCTGACTACTGCATGAAGCTCAAAGACCGATGACAAATTCGTGACGAAAAACCGAGGTCAGTTTTGCGTCATCATGTCGTCATTACAGTCTATAGCCTCGATGAATAACAAGTAACACCTTTTTTGTAAAATATACGCAAGATTTGTAATATCTATAGAAACAGCACACGCATATGATAGTTGGAGAAGATGACTATGGTGGTGAACACTTGTGAAATAGGTTTCAAAAGGTACTCTATAACGACAGTAGGCTGGCTATAAACAGAGGAGCTACAGTCGGGAGGTCGGTCGAGTGTATATAGCTGGCCATTTACTATATCATTACAAAATCAGTTGTCATAAAAGCAGGGTCCTGTGTATCTATATTGTAGGGATGATGTTGCTGACTGTGTTGGTGTTCCGGTCCTCTGTCAGCCTGTACTCAGCTACCAACCATAGTTGTCAATGACGATATCTGCAAAGACAACAACATTACTATTTATGTAAATATAGGAGCAAGAAGATCATGGATAAAATGGGCTATATATGCATTATGTACATCACTAGCACTGCATGTTAAGAAACTTCTGGCATAGACTGCGTCTATATTGTCATATAACTGATGAGTTCTATAAAAAGACCACATTACCTGTGGTGTTTACGTCAGGCCCATGGTGATGAGGAATCCACCGAACATAAACCCCACGATGACCGCTACAACACAGACGGCTTGGTTGTTTAGATTCATGATGTCTGCTGTGGTGTCTGTTTTCTTGACGTCACGTCTACAAGGAGTAAAAAGAGAATCAAAAATTTATAGAATTTATCGCAAATCTTAACAATTGGTGAATTTACACTCATTCATTTCTAGAAAACATTTTCAGTGAAGTCCAAATGAAGAAGATTCAAAGCTTAAGAGTCAAAGTGTTTACCTACTTTACAGGGTTGAAATTATGCAGTTTTTGGAGTAAGGACATTGAGGATGATTACAAGCACATTGTCTGCTCATGTATCCCAACCCGTCGAAAACTTTGTTATAACCATCATATGCTAGAGTTGTAACATAACTTCGGAAAAGTACTCGCGTTTGCCTTTTACACGTTATAAGAGACGAATGCAAACTTGATTAAGGGCAAAAAGTTCGTAATCACCTGAAAAGAAATAGCATCAGAACGACACCTAAGGCGTTACTTAAATTTTCCAGTCAAAACATGTCAAAGTTGAACCGCAACTTAGGTTTAGCCTGAATCTGCTGCATTCATGTATTAAATAGAGATCAGCAAGTAGAGAGGTACATGTACTGTTACGAAAACCTCTATACAAGCTCAGGTAGCGACTCATTCTCTGTATCCTGAGTGACCGACTTAGCCGGGCTTAAAGCATGTGGACACATTAAAAAAAGTCCGTCAATGCGTAATGATGGATACATCAGAAAACAAATTTACGTCAATAACGATGCCAAGTTGACGTTTAGCTTTGATTACTAGTATTCTACAGTATTTCTATGAAACTAATATATGGTACCTGCCGTTTTACCTGTCAATGTGTCGAACAGTCCGTGCAGTAGGACGCAGAGGATCGGAGAATGCCTCAGAATGGAAAAATGCCTCCTTTTCTGCATGCAAAGAACTGGCTAGACCGGTGATGATGCGAATTATGAGTAAACAAAAGATAACAGCCGGTTTGCATGCATAATCGTGGTAGTCTGTAATCAGATGGATGAGCTGTCAATGTGGATTGTATTGATATGGATTTCTTGAAGCAGGTGTGCATTGTAGTGGCTTCAGCCATAGTCTCAGGAGACCTCTGTGCCAAATTGTCTCTCATTTGTCTCTCGATTGTCTTTTGCAAATTTGATTCCATGCAAATCAAGACTACCATCTATGTTGTGAATGCGACTAAATGCAAATCGTACATATATTTAACTTAAGTCCGCATTGAAGCAATGGTAGATTGTCAAAGCAGGGTATGGATGATTACACTAGGAAATGTCATCTGGTTAGGTCGGTGATGATGTCAACATCTCTTGAAAGGATGCAGTTGCGTTGTAGAATGTCCTTGGCTTCAGCCATAATCTCTGGCGATATACATATGAGTTTGTCTTTTGATTCCATGCAAATCATATATATGTATGTATATGTATGTTTAACCTTGGTTTAACCATGGAGCTAAAATTCTCAAACAATAACTCCATGGTTTAACATGACAAATGTGAAGAGGGCTAAACTAAACCCCGCATTGAAGCAATGGTTAATTGTCAAAGCAGGATATGGATGACTACGTATACACACTAACTAAACTCATGTATATGTACGTTACATACTAGAAAATGTTTACCCAATCCTAAACTTTTATTCATGTTAGAGTGCAGACAAGTTAACGTGTCACAACTGCTGTACATTCTCGATTCAACTGTAGTCACGATTATAGACTACTAGTTCTGTTATATCTTCAATAACGTTATGTTATGTGGCTTTTTTATTACTTTAGCTGAATGATATTATGTTTTGGTGGCGATTTTATGTCGGGAGTGATAATTTTTTAAAAGATAAGCTGTCAGGTGACCCTTTATGGTGTATAGTTTGTGTGACGGTCTTGAAATGACAGTTCATTGTACCGCTTCAGTTTTCTTCATTCACAGGTATTATGATTCAGCGGATAGGACTTATGTCGTGTTATCTGCTAAATAACTGGACTCAAGTCTGTCTTCATGCGGGTTAAATTGCTTTATTTACATCAAATGAAGCAGACCAGGAAACTTTGCCTCGAATCATGTGGCTTACACGATGTGAACACGACTGTAGACTTTGTCTACAATACGCTTCAATCAGGTCCAAACTTCACAAAGACTAAACGATTACACCAGACACAATGTGAGGATAACATACATCATGTCACAGTGACGTGAGGTCTGTGTGAAATCGGAGCACAGAAGAGCGGCTATCATTCAATGCAAAGTACCGGTCGGGTGTAGCCGACCATTCACGATATCATGACAAAATCCCATGGTGGAGGTTACGTCATCATTACGTCACAGTCTAACTACTGCATGAAGCTCCTATTCCTAAATGTCTTCGTTGTAGGGATGATGTTGCTGACTGTGTTGGTGTTCTGGTCTCCTGGCATCCGTTGTGCTCAGCTGTCAATTAACCATAGTTGTCAATGACAATCTGCAAAAACAATTACAATGTAGACTACTATTTATGCAAATGAAGAAGCAAGCAGAATATGAATAAAACACGCTATGCACTATGTGCATCACAAGCACTCTAACTTAAACAGACTTTTATTATTCTAATTTAACGTGATAACTTAAATCTTTTGAATTCTTATATGGTTTAAATGAATTCTTGTAACTAGCAAAACCTGGTTTTTAAATTTACGTTCTAAATAAATGTGATAAAGAGCTAAATCTACTTAACTTCTGGCCTATACTTAATCGTCGTATAACTGATTGTGACGAATGGACCACATTACCTGTCGTGTTTTTATAAGCTGATGCTGATGAGGAATCCACTCAACAAAAATCCCACGACGACCGCCACACACATCGCCACACAACAGACGGCCTGGTTGTTTAGATTCATCATTTCTGCTGTGGTGTCGGTTTTTCTGCAGTCACGTCTGCAAAAAGTGAAAAGAGAACCAAGAACTGATAGAATTTATTGCAAATCTTGACAATTGGTGATTTTTCACTCCATAATCAAAGCGATGAGAACAAGACGTTGCTTGTAGCATGAGTCTCAATGAAGACGGTTCGGAGCCCGAGGTTCAAAGAGTTTGTGTTCACCACCTTTCAAGAGTTATACATGTGCAGACTTGTAGATATAATGTATGTACATGTAGTATATTTTCTAGTATGAACATGTGTCAACAAGCACATGCCTAACTGGGTCATCCTCGTGACCAAAAAAATCGATTGGCCTAAGGCTATGTAAAACAGGGTGAAAGACTCTTGAAATTAGGACAGAATGATTCTAACGTTTGCAAGTCTTCTTCGTTGGATTTTAAACAGCAGCTAATGGCGTTATGTCTGTAGAATTGATTCAATTTGGTTGGAAGAAACCACTTTGTCATCAATGGCATCCAGTTACATATATATCGGAAACAGTCCTAGTTTCAAATAGCAACAACGGCTACTACATTTGGCGTTACCTAAATTTGTCTGTCAAAACATGCGATAAACAGAACTCCTCCTTGAGTTTAGCCTGAATCTGCTCTCTTGCGTTTCAAATAGAAATCACTTTTACAGACACATCATTATACAAACACCTATACAGACTCGGGTACCACTCATTCTCTATACTCAGGAATTCTCTGCTCATAAATGACCCAGTTAAGACACACTTAAAACTGGGTATATACAACCGCGAATTTATGACAATAACCTAGTATCGATGCCAAGCTGATGTTCTCTGATTGGTATACAGCGCATAAAACTCCTATAACAATAAAACAAACTTGGTATAAAATCTAAGTCTACCAACCGTTTTACCTGTCAATGCTGCGTGCAGTACGTGCAGTTGTTGACGAATGTATCTCAGTATGTAGGAAATGTCAACCTGCCTTAAAAGAACTGGTCAGACCGGTGATGATGCTGACATCTTTTCAATGACAGCAGGTGTGTTAGCTCCAGCCACAACCTCGGGAGGCATCTATATGGCTTTATTTTTTTAATTATCGATGCCATGCAAAACCAGACTTGCTATGTACATGTATGCCGTGAATGCTGTTTAAAACGACAAATGAAGAAGGCGAAGCTACAGCCCGCATTAATGCAATGGAGACTTTTCAGAGCAAGATATGGATGACTACACAGTAACAAAACTTATGGATATGAAGTTACTAGTACATAATAGTTCCCTTGTTTTGTACATGCTTGCCTTCTTCAACTTAATTTAAACTTTTGTGTAAGCAATTACAACCTAACGTGTCACCACTGATGCACATTCACGATCCAACTCTGCAGATAAGTCACAACTATAGACTACCATTTTATTATACATGTATCTTAAATAACGTTATGTTTCATGGCTTTTTATCACTTGAGCTAGTAAGTAGCATGTCTGTAGAGATAAGTCCCTATATATATATATATATATATGTATGTATAAATTACAGATGATACTTGTTTGTTTGAAGGCCTTAATATGATATCTCATTGGACAGCTTATTTCTCTTCCGGGTACACTCATGCGCACGTTTCATAATTCAGCGCATATGCGCCTTATCATGTTATCTGATAAAGATGGGAATAGCTGGACTCAAGTCAATGTTTTCGGTGGCGATTGCATGTCTGTAAGATACAGGTGACTCTTAATAATGTATAATTTGTGTGACGGTCTTGATTTAAAATGATAGCTCATTGGGCCGCTTTAGTTCTATTATGATTCAGCGGATAGGACTTATGTTATCTGATAAATAACTGGACTCAAGTCTGTTTTCACGCGGGTTAGATTGCTTTATTTGCACCAAAGGAAACAGCAGACCAGGAAACTTTGCCTCGAATCATGTGGTTTACACGATGTGAACACGACTCAGGCTCCAAACTTCACAAAGACTAAACGATTACACCAGAAACAATGTCTGGGTAACATACATCATGTCACAGTGACGTGAGGTCTGTATGAAATCGGAGCACAGATGAGCGGCTATCATTCAATGCAAAGTGTAAGTCGAGTGTAGCCGACCATTCACGATATTATGACAAAATCCCATGGTAGAGTTTACGTCATCATTACGTCACAGTCTGACTACTGCATGAAGCTCAAAGGCGGACTTAAGGTCTCATTCAATTCAAGGTATCGGTCGAGTGTATTATTATGGATCACGTTTTAGAATGCAACAGGCATTCCACTTTGTGTTATTCCAAATCATGTTTTGGAATAGACCACGTTTGGGAATGCAGGTGCATTCCCCTTCGTTTCATTCCAAACCATGATTTGGAATCGAACACGTTTTGGAATGCAACACAACAGGCATTTCACTTTGTGTTATTCCAAATCATGTTTTGGAATAGACCACGTTTGGGAATGCAGGTGCATTCCCCTTCGTTTCATTCCAAACCATGATTTGGAATCGAACACGTTTTGGAATGCAACACAACAGGCATTTCACTTTGTGTTATTCCAAATCATGTTTTGGAATAGACCACGTTTGGGAATGCAGGTGCATTCCCCTTCGTTTCATTCCAAACCATGATTTGGAATCGAACACGTTTTGGAATGCAACATCAACTGTCATAAAAGAAGGCTCCTATATGTCGTCGTTGTAGGGATGATGTTGCTGACTGTGTTGGTGTTCTGGTCTCCTGGCATCCTTTGTGCTCAGCTGTCAATTAACCATAGTTGTCAATGACGATCTGCAAAGACAATGTATCCACTATTCATGCAAATGAAGGAGCATGCAGAATATCAATAAAACGCGTTATGCACTATGTGCATCTCCAGCACCGTAACTTAAACAGACTTTTTATTATTCCAAATGGAAAACGTGATAACTTCTTATATGGTTTAGATGAATTCTTGTAACTAGCAAAACAGGGGATAACCATTAGAAAAAGAATTATCACGACTTTTTTAATTATCACGTTTTAAAATTTACGTACTAAATAAATGTGATGCAGAGCTAAATCTACTTAACTTCTGGCCTATACTTTTAAGTATAGGCCAGAAGTAAAATCGTCGTATAACTGATTGTGACAAAAGGACCACATTACCTGTCGTGTTTTTTATACCATGCCCATGCTGATGAGGAATCCACTCAACATAAACCCCACAAGGACCGCTACACAACAGACGGCCTGGTTGTTTAGATTCATGATTTCTGCTGTGTTGTTTGTTTTTCTGCAGTCACGTCTACAAAAAGTGAAAAGAGGAGCAAGAGCTGATAGAATTTATTGCAAATATTGACAATTTGTGATTTTTCACTCCATAATTGAAGCGATGAAAACAAGACATTGTTTGTAGCATGAGTCTCAATGAAGACGATTCGAACCCTGAGGTTTAAGAGTTTGTGTTCACCACCTTTCCAGAGGTATACATGTGCAGACTTAGTATGTAGATACATAGTATGTAGTATATTGTCTAGTATGAACAGTTGTTTTCTGTCAACAAGCACATGCCTTACTGGGTCATCCTCATGAGTCTCAATGAAGACGATTCGAACCCTGAGGTTTAAGAGTTTGTGTTCACCACCTTTCCAGAGGTATACATGTGCAGACTTAGTATGTAGATACATAGTATGTAGTATATTGTCTAGTATGAACAGTTGTTTTCTGTCAACAAGCACATGCCTTACTGGGTCATCCTCGTGACAAGAAAAATCGATTGGCCTAAGGCTATGCAAAACAGGGTGAAAGACTCTTGAAATTAGGACGGAATGATTCTAACGTTTGCAAGTCTTCTTCGTTGGATTTTAAACAGCAGCTGATGGCGTTATGTCTATATAGAATTGATTCAATTTGGTTGGAATAAACCACTTTGTTATCAATGGCATCCAGTTACAAATATATCGGAAAGAGAACAATAACAAAGAGGATGATAACACCCGAGTCGTCTGTGTAATCATATATCCCTGCACATGGGAAACTTCGTTGTACACAAAATATGCAGAATTCGTATCATAACTTCTGCTCTTTTACACATTGTCAGAGATAAATGCAAATTTGTTTGAAATAGCAACAGACCAAAATGTTTCAAATAGCAACAACGGCTCCTACATTTAGCGTTACCCAAATTTTCCAGTCAAAACATGCGATAAACAGAACTCCTCCTTGGGCTTAGTCTGAATCTGCTGTCTTACGTTTCAAATAGAGATCAGCTATTACAGAGGCATCATTATACAAACACGTATACAGGCTCAGATACGACCCCTTCTCTATACTCAGGAATTCTCTGCTCATAAATGTACTCGAGGAATGCTTTGATCATAAATGACCCAGTTAAGCCACACTTAAAACTGGGTATATAGAACCGCCAATTTATGACAATGAGCTAGTATCGATGCCAAGCTGATGTTCTCTGATTGGTCCACAGCGCATAAAACTACCATACTATAAAACAAACTTGGTATAAAACCAAATAGAGGTCTACCAACCGTTTTACCTGTCAATGCTGCGTGCAGTACGTGCAGTTGTTGGCGAATGTATGTCAGTATGTAGGAAATGTCAACCTGCCTGAAAAGAACTGGTTAGACCGGTGATGATGCTGACATCCTTTCAATGACAGCAGGTGTGTTAGCTCCAGCCACAACCTCAGGAGGCATCTATATGGCTTTATTTTTTTAAATATTGATGCCATGCAAAACCAGACTTGCTATCTACATGTATGCTGTGAATGCTGTTTAAAACGACAAATGAAGAAGGCGAAGCTACAGCCAGCATTAATGCAATGGGGAATTGTAAAAGCAAGATATGGATCAAACTCACCAACAAAACTTATGGATATGAAGTTACATAATAGGTCCGTTCTTTTGTACATGTTTGCCTTCTCAACTTAATTTAAACTTTTGTGTAAACAATTGCAACCTAACATGTCACCACTGATGCACATTCGCGATCCAACTCACAGCTATAGACGACTACCAGTTTTGTTATACATATATCTTTAATAACGTTTTATGGTGTTTTATTACTTCAGCTGGTAATATCATGCCTTCGGTATCATTCAATGTCTATAATTTCTTAAAAGTTACAGATAACACTTTCTTTGTGTGAAGGCAATGATCTGAAATGATAACCCATTGGGCTGCGCTATTTCTCTTCCGGATCCAGCCACTCATACACACGCTTTATAATTCAGCAGATAGGACTTCTTATGTTATCTGATAAAGATGGGAATAACTACAGGACTCAATTGGACTCAAGTCTGTTTTCACGCGGGTTAGTTTGCTTTATTCGCACCAAAGGAAACAGCAGACCAGGAAACTTTGCCTCGAATTATGTGGCTTACACGATGTGAACACGACTGTAGAGTTTGTCTACAATACGCTTCAATCAGGCTTCAAACTTTACAAAGACTAAACGATTACATCTGACACAATGTCAGGATAACATACATTATGTCACAGTGACGTGAGGTCTCTATGAAATAGGAGCACAGAAGAGCGGCTATCATTCAATTCAAAGTTCCGGTCGGGTGTAGCCGACCATTCACGATATCATGACAAAATCCCATGGTGGAGGTTACGTCATCATTACGTCACAGTCTAACTACTGCATGAAGCTCAAAGACGGATGACAACATCGTGACGAAAAACCGATGTCAGTTTTGCGTCATCATGTCGTCATTACAGTCTATAGCTTCGGTGAATAACAAGATTTGTCATACAAGATTTGTAATGTTTGCAGAAACAGCATATGTCCCAACACGCATTTGTTAGTTTGGAGAAGATGACTATCGCGGTAAACACTGGTGAGAGACGTTCAGCATAGTACTAGTGGTACAGTAACGACAGTGGGTTGGCCATAAACAGAAGAGCTACAAGTCAGGAGGTCGGCAGGACTGATGGTAGGTGTCTACAGATGACGATGGCAATGTCGAAGAGACAGCTCTGATGTCGGCGACCGTTGCAGCAGCTCCAACAGAAACCGGCAGGCGTCGCTGCGGGAACTGATGTGACGACGTGTGTTGTCTGTAGCTACCGCCCATCCTTCCTGGAGGCTCCTAGCGTGACATGCGGCTGTCCTGACATGTACAACACAAAACAAAATCTCTTTACAAATTGCAGTTTGCTAAAACTTCAAACATCCTGTATTGAACCTCTGATATCATGGAGTCTACCCAGCCAGTATTGTCTGGAAGGAAAACAGCACAGGTGACATGCAGAGAAAAAAAATGTGATTTGGGAAGAAAAATACCTACCTGTTCATATCATGCCCATGGAGACCAGGAACAAGCCAAACCACAGCCCCACAATAACAGCGACGCAGCCCACCGCCTGGTTGTTAAGGCTCATGTCTGTAGCAGCTGAGCTATGTTAAAAGCGAATTCTGCAAAGCAAGAAGAGCGAAAGCATGGCCTTCTGTCACCAGCTGATTGCAAGCAGATATTGAAAAAGCAAATCATACATTTACATTAACAAGCAATGCTGAAGCGAAAGACCTGCTGATTTTTTTTACATAGACACATGGCGTATTTTAATACATGTACTACAAAGCACAGCAACATATTATAAGTCATATTTCAGGTTACACATGTATTCCACAGGAGTCACTCTACTGTATGAACTATGGTTTCATATCACTTATTCACAGATCAGAGGTACATATCGATCTAGACCAAATTTCTTTCGCTACTCAAAATAGCACGCAAAAGCGGGTTCATTTTGACACGATGATAATATTCTATACGTTAACAAAAGTGAAGCTCTGAATTACGTTGTGTTTTAGTTTGCGGATTTAGATGTTTAAGCTCTTTCAGTATATCAGCTGATAGTCTCCACCTACTACTATGGCCGGCTAACTCCTCTGCCTAATTATATCCCTTTTTCTGACGATTCCAACTATTTGTTTATACTGCATGCAAATGAGTCTGGTGGAGACTATGTATCATGGCCTGCAGCAAAGATACATGTAAACTGACGATCCGGACAAAACCAGTTCTATGGGTCAAAGTGCACGAGGCACCATTGCATAAGCAGTATTTCCCTTCAGGCAACCAACGAGTCATGAATAGAACCTCCTTGAGGAACTACCTTGAGGCAACCAATCACGGCTTGTGGGGTACAGTAAGGGGTTTAGTCAGAGGCCCACCAAAACTTCTCAACTCTATACAACAACATTAACATTAGTTCACGCAGACTGGTAGAAGAATTTTGTTGCAGCAACTTAAGTCTTGTTAAATCTTTCGTATGGATACGACACTACTGTAAGTTATCTACTAAGAAAACTCTCGGTACAACGTACAACATATGGGACCAAAAATACAGATTTACAGGGCAATACTAGCTTACATCCGTTGGACCCAGTCGCAAGTGTTGGCTGGCCACGTATTTTTTAAAAAAATTACTTGATCATATAGTACCTCTATGTAAGCACGGCAAAAATGAAGGTTCCAATGACAGCACTGACAAGAATCACTCGCATAACACACTCCTTCCTTGTCATAACCATGTCCATCCCTCCGTGTTGTCTGTCAGAGTAAGACATTCCATAAATGGGGTCAGCCTATAAGGCGCCAAAGTAGTTCGTCCGGTTTTGGGGGTTGATTTGATGGAAGGGTCGCATATCTTACGGTTCACGAAGCGACGGGTTTTGAACAGACTATATACTTTGCCATTTCCAATTAAAGTTAAGTCCAAAATATTTCATTTTCGTCGAATTTTCAAACATATTAGTTTGCCTAGGCCTTCGTTAACTTTGTCAATCGATTCGCAAAAAAATTGCAAGAAACTGCCTACTAGTATATTATGAAGCGAATTTGTTGAAAAAGATATCAAAATGACAAAAATCTATACAATACAAAATATTATTTACAAATGCAAAATACCATAATCTCTATTCATGGAGCTTGTAATTCTGCAAAGATTTCTTTCTTCAACTCAAACCAGTTTGGGGATCACGCATGAATGAATCCATGACGCAGTGACATCCAAACTCCACCCGCCAGGTGAAAACAATGGACCCGCCCAATATGTTTCCAAGCGTGATTCGAATACAAGATTAAGGTGCTTTACTACATGTAGTACTCTGAATTGTCTTTCATCGAGTGCGAATTGGTTACATGTGCATCTCAACTGGCAAACTTTTCAATAATATGTCCTCTTCTACAGTGCAACTGTCTCTGACAAGCACTAGTTAACAAATGAATACCACTAATACTGTCAAAGACGGGTTCAGTTTACAGCCAAAAAGTGATTAGAGCAAAAAAAGAGCTCAAAAGAGAGAAAACTGTACTACTAGGTGATTGAGCGCTGAGATTGAATACTTTTTTGACTAGGTATCCATACGCTACAACAGAAGCAAGTCATCAGAACGTTACTTGTGTCTCACGGGACTGACTGGTTGGGCGTAGTTAAGTTTTACATTTTACAGTTTCCCTTGACTTTCCCGCTTACCTTAACCTAGGAACAAATAGCAGAAGGCTCCAAAGATACAACACGTGAAGAGGATTTTGATGATGGCCTCTCGGCGCTCGGCGTTGCAGTGCATCATGGCCATGGTCTTAGTTTGGGGGACAGACGACAGCGAACTTCAACAGAACCCCTACATACACTTCACCGCCCTTCACATTTGACGACTAACAAAATGGCGGAGATATGGGGACAACTTACTACGTCACAAATTTATGTGACCTTCTGATTCGAGGACAAGGTTATATAGACGGCGAAAGTTATATAGACGGCGCGCCACAACGTCAAAAGTTGAGTAGACTATCTATTGATATCTTAAAAAAGAATTAAAAGTATCAAATGGAAATAAAGATAAAAGTCAAGACATTTCCCCACCTTGCGTTAACCCAGGATTAGGTAAAGTAGTCCTCCAACTACGGAAACAAATAGTACAATACGGAAAAAGCAGTCCCTCCCTTCCGTGACAGACATTGCGAGTGGAACTATGAGTTCTCAATAGTGAATTCAAATCTGATCCGGTATCTGCTTTATTCGTTTGGTTGTTGTCTAAAATCTCCACATCACAATGACCAAATTTAATTAAGAAGAGGTAATTTAATGAGTCTTTATAGTGAGATGGTCTGATTTTCATCACAATCTTCGTTGGGTGTAGCCAATGTATAGACAGTACCAAAAGTCGAAAGACAAACCTACGACAACAAAATTTTCGTGAGGCTATGCTGTCTGATCCCATGTGTCTACAATATTGAAACATTTTACTGATAAACCTGGCTATCTATGAAACTATTAGTTCTGTAGTAACTGTACTAAATCGTAGTATATCCTGATTATAAACATTGGCGCAAGGAATTATATTTTGCATTTAAATGCAGATATCGGTGCTTATTGCGCAGTTCAAAACCGTGCTTAATGAAATGTGCTAATGCACAACCGTATGAAACTATTGGCGAGGATAACTTACCTCAGCCGAAGATACAATAGAGGCCGCATAAGGAAAGTATACAAGCGAAGAGCATCAGCGCACTCGTAACAAACGTCTGGCGCTCTTGGTCAGTAAAGCACACGTTCATTGTTGGAACGATAATCTACATGTACCCTACATGAAGGGAACGCCAAAAGCACAGCGCTCAAGCTCAAATATGTCAATGCCGTACAAGACAGGGATACTTACAGAACATTACGTTTTAACAAAAGAAAGAATCCCGTCCATTAAGGTGACAAATGAATTACTGTCCTGTCTAGTCAAAGTGTAATTGACCGTTGACACATTATATATTATGTAACTTAGATCATTGCCAAACAAACCTTTGATCTTACAGAATCTTCAAATTCAGTATGAAGTTATAGATAAGCTATTAGTATATTACAGAAGTACATGGATTTTATCCTGCGATTGGTCATGGATGTTCTACAAGTAGTTCTGTTTATATCTCGACATTTTTGTTCAATGTAACCAAAAGAATAGATAGAAAGAATCGACCTCAGCAGAGCGAATCAGTCACAAAGAGCACAAGAGCCTTCCTCTCAGACTTTGACATCTGAACGATTTTCAAAATGGCGCCCAAATTCGACAAGCTCATTCTCTACTTAAGATTTGCGACGGCAGAAAATGGTCTTCATTCGTACTCACCATCTACGAAGCCTGGATTGAAAATCTAGTTTGAAGATCTACAAGTACATAAAGTAGATGATGATGCCACCAAGTATGAGTAAAGCAACTGTCGGGATAACGCAGCAAAACTTTGTCATCGCTGTAGCCAAGTTACTCTCTTTGCTGACACATTTGTTAAAGGCAGTGTAAGTAATTCATAGTTTGATTTTAACCCGTGATAGCTGCACACCCTCAGGTGGAATGTATCCAGGGTCAAATCTACCCGACCTCTCTATTTTTCAGGATTTCTACCCGGATTCGTCCACAATTCAATATCTAATCACTAACTTCCTGTTACCGCACAATGACTTGTGATGAAACGTTTTTGTGGAGTTTCAAATGATGAAAACTTTTCGTTCTCACGGTCTTCAAAGGGGCGAGTGTCACCTTGACGAATAAATCACCCAGAAACTTCGATGTCTTAATTGTTTCTTGACGACCTCGCGTCATGTCCACTGAACCTAAGATTCTACTGGAGCTCGTCCAACATACTGGTACTCTTGAGGCTTTTGGGTGTGGTTCGACCGAATCAAAGGGGTCAAAAAGGGCAATACATGTACTTACCGAAGGTATGACTATGCTACAAGCCAAACAATAAGACCGATAGCTCCACCAGCAAGCGCAATAAGTATGCCAACACCGAACTTGGTCATCGTTGAGGCAATTTGTGACTGGTGAACTAAAATTCTAGATTTGTTGTCTTGTCATGAATATGCATGAGGCTTTACCATTGTAGCAAATGGCAGGGTAGCAAGGGGTATGGCGTATCGGTAGACAAAAAAATAAGGTTGTCTGGAGAGGTCCACTTTTCGGTTCCTCAGAGGAAATGATCTTAAGGTATAAGATATACATGTAAAATAAAAGCATGTTTTTAAGATCTGTCTCAAGACCCTTGTCAATGTTCTGAATTCCCCCATACAGAGCCCAGACACCTGTTGGACAGGTTGAACAACTGCTGACACATCCAGGCCATCACACACGCATGAATCATCATCAAATTGTCTGCGAATAATTGGCTGGCTTCTTCCCCGAGGGGTAAACAGACCCAAACAAAACAATTTTCTTCTTCCCAAAGGTTAAAGGACAGAGTTCACTCTGATCAAAACAACAACAGAGAAAATGGCTACCCGTAGACGTGATGAGAGTACAGAAACATATTTTCAATCACAAATCATATTTCAGATCTGTCAACTGTAAGCACTTAAGTAGTCATAATGTGACATGGATGAAAGCTTTGTCAGAGAGGCATTTGAGGCATCAGGATATATTGATATAAAATCTGGTCATTCCCTGCTTCAAGTCTTGAAAAGCTCACCCTCTCTGACTTACTGCTCTTTGGAAAAAGAAAACAGACACACAGTGGTAGCTTGCTAAAGGATATTGAAGGGTTTTTGCCCTTTTATTCTAACACATCTTGCTGTAAACAGACAGTACTGAAGAGCAGCAGTATATGTTCACAGCTGCAAATGATACAGTATATCTTATCATCTGACTAAACCAAAACTAAACATTACATACTGTACATGTAACTGTAGTAACAAAAGTAACTGATTCTTTGCTAACTCATTACCCTTCTTTCTATTCTTTTGTTGAAAGTTGAAACTCATGATTATTTTCATTTCTTTAGTTAGCACCAGTAAATGTGCCTCTAAATTTCCAGCACAAGATTTAAAATGATCAGCAATAAAAGTGCCTTTCATAACATCTTGACGTTAACAGAGATGTACACCACCATCATTACCTCTGGCACCTGTAACAAGAAGAGAACAACAAAGCAAGTCAGACAATAGAATTCCTTCAAATTCAGTTCAAGTGCGACATATGAAGCGACAAACCGACTCATCACTAACCTAACATGCTGCTGAGGAATGATGCATATGTTGCTGTTCCTGTAACAGCTCCAACTTGAGCGGGGTTTGTGCGAACGGTTTTTACCGTGAAAGCTTTTCCCTGGCTAGCATCACCTGGTCCCGTCACATCAACCTCCACAATATGAAAGTCTGTGAGGCTAAAAAAAAATTAAAGGTAGCCATTCACTTCTGCAAAATACATGTGTATATGATCTTAATTTACTGCAACTTCTAAAATACAGTACCCGACAAAACAAGTTGGAACAGTTTAAAAATGCAAAGGCCGATGATATTCTGTCTATTTGAGGTGCTCAGCCTACCTTGGGTCAGACACCAGACAACCCCTGACCACATCAAACCCCAAGTTGTGGGCAGCGACAGCTGCTGCAGCCATGGTGTTAACATTGTTAGGAGCTAGAGGACACAGGTCACGGACTGGGCCTGTAGGAAAAATCACATACGTATGGCAGGATGTTGTAGATTAGGGGTCAGCAATCTTGCTTCTGGCATACAGGGTTGGCATTCTGAACTGTTCAATTTGTATTTCTTGAAGCAAACTTATGGTACAAACCAAAGATAACTGTACAAACAATTCTCAGTAGTTGTAGTTTAGAAGCAAGTACAGAATCCTTCAAATATTTCTAGTTTCACATGTTGAGCCTACCAACAACAAAATACATTTACAACCTTCACTTATTACAGTCACAAACCAGCAAACTGCACAACTTGTGAAAATAAAAGGCCAGCACATCTGTCACGGTATCAGTAACAAGATATCATGTTCCAGCAATCTTTACTAAAACAATATGTATGTTTGTATCAGAATGTGTGGAATCTGTATATCATACCATCATAAAGCACTGCTGCATCTGCTCCAATGCTGTCATTCTTTTCTTTCAGAGGACTGTTCAGTTTAAAACTGGATGGGTGTTTCCTCATTGTAACTTTGAGACCCTGGAAAATGGAAGAAAAAGCAAACAGTGAAAATCATTGCTAAACCTGAAAATAACTCAGTAGAAAATTGTTTTATTAAGAATATCACTTAATTTGTCATCTTTTTTTGTATCCAGGGCTACATGTAATTGTCACCTTTAAAGAACCTCTGTCTGCCATTTTCTTGATGTCCTGTGCTCCCCAGAATGCACCTGCCGGCACGTACAGGGCATGTCCACATGTGCTGGCCTTCTCTCTAAGTTTGGTCTCTACTTTCTGATTGGCTAATGCTGTGGGAGACCCGACCTGTTCAGATGTGGAAAGAAAAAGATGAATAGAAAATAATAAATATCTGTGTTGGTGAACATTGTGTTCAGTTATGCAAGAGGGGTCACAAGTACAGTAGTATCCACATGGCATGCTTATCATGCTTCTGCTGAGCAAACCTTAAATACTTAAAGTATAGCTGGACTCTAGTGCATCCTATACTACTGTGGTTTCATACACATATAGTTAACCCACAAGTTTTTACTCACCATATAGTCAGCCACATCTAAGAAGGATTCACCATATTTTTCAGTGATGGAAGGATGTGCCACTTCAACTATAAAGTCAGGATTCCTGTCAAGAAAACAGACAAAGAAGATCAGGTGACACGAATGGGATATCTGGCATATTTCAATATACATGTACATATATTTTCATGTAAATAGGTCTTTGGCTTATTAAGTGATCCAATTCTGGATGTAGACCATGATGATGAAAACACTACGGAGAAAACTAATACGCTGTCTTCTGCAGTCTGATTGCAGCCTACTATCAGTTGAGAGTTACTAAAGGAAAAAATAATTTCAAACAGGGGAGTGCTCGAGTGCCATATAACAGTTACCGAGTACTAATAGATAACTTTTGGTTGTACATGTATTATGCAAAAAGAGTTGTGTACTGCCACGTCTCTGTCACCTTTCTGCAAACTCGTCCAAGTTTGACAGGATGAGCTCGTCCTCCACATGACCTTGAACTTTCTCCACAGAGCGGTTCCAAACAAAGGCCAGCTCCACATCGTCCCTTTTCAGTACTTCCTGAACCAAGTACGCACCTGCAGTAAAGAAGATAGGGGACCTATACGTGTGTCGATAAAGTTTTGTTGTTGTTTTCAAATCGTAAATTTTGTCATGCATGTCATCACCCTTCGAAGGTTTGCTCTCTACATTTTCCGACCTGTCACGCCATACATACATCTTCAACTCATCCCTTATCTTTCAACTGATATTTTACAGTCATAGACCACCTACCCAAGTGTCCGTAGCCAACTATTCCTATCCTTCTCTTCAAAACTCGACGTTTTTTGACAAAGTCCGCCATATTTGCAACCTTCGACCTTCGCGCCAACCAAATGGAATATTCCTTAAATTTTGGGGGGTATGGGTAAGATTTTTGGAGACATTGTAAACCACAAAAATACAATAATGTATACTATTCAATGAAAATAGATCAATTTGTATTGTAATACATAGATATTTAGTGACGAATGCATTTTCTTTGGCATTTTTGGGGATAGTAATGTATATGAGTTATCCCCCTTTTGTGAATAAACTATTCCTAGCTGCCCCGTATTTGCTAAAATAGACCAATGAAAAGAGCGTACTGCCTTCCCATTGGCCAATCAACGCTCTTATTTGGTAGCCATTCGGGTAACCCTTTGTTGCACATGCGCCCTGGGTTGCCAAGGTACATCATCATAACAACAGTTCTGTCCAACCGAGGAGGTCTTGTTCGCCAAAATATCGGCATAAACAGTGCAATTTCTCGAGTTTAGGTCCAATTTTATCCTAGACTACTAAGCAGAAAAGTAAAGGTGAGTGTTGAGAATTGATCCTCTCCTTTATATAAGGAAATGCAACCGTTTTTGTGTCCAACTTTGTTGTTTTGGAATCGTTGATATGATGACGTTGCTCCTGCTTTACTCTTTTTACTCACCAAGAATACATCTCAAGTTCTCAACAATTAGAATGAAATTATTCCATTCTCGTTTTTCTCAGTCAAGATGCCGAAGAAGAAGAAGAAGTCCGGATCTGGGAAGAAGGGAAAGAAGGGGAAGTTGGCTAAGATGACTGAGGAAGAGAGGATAGTGTACCTGGAACAACAGGCACTGGCAGAGGAAGAGATGAGGAAGAAAAAGGAGGACATGTTGACTCAGTATCTAAAGGTATGCTCACGCAATTTCTGTAATACTTAAACTTTCAGTACTACATTGTAGTTCCACATATCATGTTAAACGCACATCAAATTGCACCATATATGGAAATGGTGGAAATTCGTAAATGTTGAACTTAGAAGCTATCCAGGCATCACAAAACATGTAGCACTGATTACATGTCATGTAGTACATTTTCTACTTGAAATCAGCAATTTATAATAGAGGCCAGTTCAGTGAAATCAATCATTATAAGGAGATACTAGTTCAAGATTCTGATCTGTCAAGATTTCTGAGATCACAGAACTTGACTTTCTCTATGTAATGAATGATGAAAATTAACAAGTTTCTTTTTATTTTCAATGTGATATAGTAATATTAGTATTGGCAAAACTATCAAACAGTTGTCACACACTGATCATACATGTCCTTTTTTTGCCTTCTCCAGGATAAACTCACAAAAGAAGAAAAGTTCACAAGGTTCAACCTGAACAAGATCAACAACCAATGGCGGGCCATCATGCGCGAGTCCAAGTCCAAGGAGCTGCGGAGGGACATTGAGATTCTCAGTCAGACTTTCGAACGCGTTGTTGATCGCAAGGATAGCGTTATCCAATCATTGGCTAAGGATATTGCGGAGGCGGAGGAACAGTTTGCCATGGCACTGAGGAGTCATCTAGAAAATGTAGACGCCCTCATAGGTAGGTGTTGTTCAATATATAAACTGTACAATCATGTAGTTTGTCAGTTCATTTCATACCATCTGTTAACAATGTTGTAACCTTTTTGCCAATACCTTGGGATAGAGGCATTTCTTCTTTCTGTAGAATTCTTTTTTTTTTCTTTTCAAAGTTCTTAAAAGTTTTTGTAGGATTTTGTTGGAAACAGATTATACTGTATTTTAAATCAAGTAATTTGTTAAAATTGCCTTTTTTTTAACATTACAGGGTGCAAAACTAATGCTCTTCTGAATTTCTTGATTGCTGCTTTTTTTAATGGAAGGTTAACCTCTGAGATTTTGTTTCAGATCTACAGAGACAGAGACTCTTCACACTCCAGTCTGAGTATGACACAGAGCTGGAAATCCTCAAGAAAGAGTTTGATTCAGAAAGGTAAGAATCATACATTCTACCACTCCATAAAATGTTAAATAGCAACAATTGAGTACCTTACCATAGTTTTTTTTGCATGTGTGTGAGATGCCAGCTGCTGATGAAGTGTTTGATCTGTGTATTTGTTGTAGGGACCTGATCGTGGCTCAGCACAAGAAGGAGATGACAGACCTGCAGGACGTGATGTTTGCCATGGAGCAGAACTTCCAGGACCGCGAGGCCGAGGCACGACAGGAGTTCCAGAGCATGAGGGATGAAATCAAGAACAAGGTTCGGACAGGGCTATAGGGGATGGTGTAGGCTTAAAGAGCAGGCTTGCACTATATAAGAACCCAATAAATTCGGCTAGCGTAAACTACCAGGCCCCATCCTGTCTCTGACTACCGTGGTGGTAACATGGGCACAGGGCTCTTGAAGACACTTTGTGTTTGTAACATATTGAAGACAGATAAGGAATTTATGTACATGTACAGTCTGTTTTACAGAAAGAAGATAGCCTCACCTTACCCAGAATATAGTAATTACACCACTGTACTGTTTTGCCAAGGTTTGGTGGTGTTATAGATTGGCCGGCAGTTACTTGAACAGTTCTAACAGAGATCCAGTCTACATGTATACTAGTGCTGCTTTCTCATACTACCAAATTGACACCACAATTGCAACCCATATTTCTAGACTCACTTACTATCCAAGCTAATTCAGTTGTGAGGTTGCCATTTTAGATATCTATAATTAGAGGCTTTGATGAAATGTTGACAAGACAGTTTGAAAAATTGAAATTTGACCACAGAGTTGGTTTTCCAGAAACTGAAAGTTGCAGATAGTATTTTCTTGATTTATGTGACTCAGTTACAACTATCCCGATCATTCTGCATGGTTTGATATTGTTAGTTTGAAAACCAGTATAGAAAAAAACATTTGAATTTGTTCAAAAAGAGTGACAGTTATTATGCTAATCTGTCCCTGCCATTGTTTTCGGTGGCTGGACCGTCTAGGATGCTTATTAGTTTATGTGGTTATGGGGGTCAATTCACTATTCAAGCTGCTGGAGAAGCCACAGTGGGGAGTACTTCCTTATTGCGTCGCCCTGGGCACCGAATCCTCCAGTTTAAGAACCATAAAATCTGGATATTCAATACGTATACTTTAGTCTATACACAAATTTGTTTGTAAACTTTTCAAAACTGCAATAAAATGAAGCATGGTTTTTATAATGTATATTATTTCCCTGACAAAGCTTTTATCAAAATACATGTAGTTTGTTTTCAAGGATTTCTTGGACTAAAATGTACAACTTTCTCCACCCCAACAAAATTTGGGCCAGGACATAGTTATACTGGGTGAATTCTTCATCAACATGTGTTTGAATTGGTATGTTTACGGAAGGAAAACATATTGTTTTTGCTCTGTTTCATCTTCTTGTTCTTCAAACCAATAAAGTCAATGACCTGAACCAGAAGTCTGTCACCATGGTAACTAGTTTATTTTGCTTCTAGAACCTTGAGGAGAAGCATGCCCTGCGGATTCAGCTAGAGGGCGCTGTTGAGGACCTGTGGAGACAGTTCCAGCAGGCACTCAAGTCCTACAATGAGTCCACGGAGGAGAGGAAGGTCGCCTTTGAGAACCTGAAGGCCAAGGACGAGAAGAGTGCGAAGGAGATTGAGATGCAGATGAGAAAACTACAGAGGATATCTGTAAGTTGAACACCCTTTTTATGTGCCAGTAATTTACTGTCAATTATAGAACAAGAAGTTGATCAGCTCTCTATTTTTTGTGTCAGATGCCTTGGGAATACTGGTAGTACAGAAAACTACAGCCAAACAGTAAAACAAGGGTTAGAAGTGCAAAATTCTCTGTTGCCACAGTTTTCATTTTGTCCAAAAATTGTGATTTATCAGGAAACTTAAAATTGAGCTTTTCTGGCACGTTGTCATACTATAGCCTTGTTTTATTATTTATGATATAAACAATATTTTGATTTAAAAGTGCTCAATAAGAATCTTATACACATACCCATCTTAATTTTGCCATGACCTTTATACGACCTTCAGGACCAGATAGCCCAACTGAAGGCCAAGATGGCGCAGAATTCCCGCGAGTGTGACGAGCGGAATCACCAGATCAAGAACGAGCGTGAGGTCATCCTGCAGCACTTCCACGCGCTGAAGGACCGCATGAACTCCATGCGCGATCGGGAGAGAGCGAGACTGACCAAGCTCACCCTGCAGAGTAACTCAGCCATCAAGGAGCTACAGAGGGTTCATGAGAAGGTAAGGTCCAGATCTCTTCACTTATGATTTTCCATCAATATGAAATAAATCTGTGCATTCTACGTCTTCTTTGTTGATGTGACATTGATACAACAACACAATTGTAAATGAATAGAACATGCAGGGAACTAAAAGCTTGTTACATTTTGCTGGATAATTTCTTTCATCATGATGTGTTCAGTAAACTGGATGACATCGATGCAATCGTATCCTCCATAGCAGGCTTTGTTGCTAGCTCTTTTTTTCATTTTTGTGTTGTTTTCTGATAGAAATTTGACATGCAAGCAGCATGTACAATCAGAAAAGCAGCACAGAAGCCAAAAAAGGCCAACAACAAACCCTGCTATGGAGGTGAAATAAAATTGAAATTGAAATTGAAATGTGCTACTTGTCTAATACCGCTATAAGTCTGTAAGTGTTTAACATGTATGTTTTAAACTTCACCCCCCTCCCCACACCAGGGTGAACGTATCCTGAAGCTGTCTGAGATGTGCAGGAAGCTGGAGACGGAGGAGGAGAAGGTCCTGCCGTTCTACGCTTCCTCCCTCACCGAGGAGGAACAACAGGACGTGGAGGCCGCCGTGGGGGAACCACCGTCCGAACCGTTAGCCGAGGTGAACACGCGTTTTCCATTTACCCTATTTCTGTTAATGGTGGCCTTGTAGTTAGGGTTCTTCACTCAGAATTTAAAGGTTTCTGTACTTTAATTCCTAGCAGGTCGCAATATTTTGCCCTTGGGAAAAGGCAATTATCACCAGTTTTCTCCCAAGTTTCGGGTAAAAATGAGTTCCAAGCTTCAGTTCAGAAATCATTTCATATGGGACATAAAGTTGAAGGTATTGTGTTTGAGGAGGTTCACACCCTGAGCTAAATTTAAAGAACCCACCACATTTATTGACAAGAGTTGGGGTCCATACAAAATGATATGATTGATACTTTTGGTCCTAGATTTGTATTTGAACAGTTTAAAGATTGCTGCAATATCATCAAAACAGAGAATTAAAGTCCCAACTAACAAGTGATACTTTACTCCACAGGTGATGCATGAGTATGTGTCACTAGAGAACTTCTGGAAGAGATACAACAAAGTTCTGCTGGATAAACTGGCCCTGGAGAAGGAGAGGGCAGGACTGATGACGGAGAACAACCAGCTCCGAACACTGCTCAAACAGTACCTGGACGGGATCTCTGTCAACGACGAGATCTTATCACAGGTCAACCCACTGTTCGTGGTCAACCACAGGACCAATGTCAAGTGAGTATTCTTTTATATCATTTCTAACCTGTATTACAAAGGATGAAATCTTATAGGCTGATTTTGTGTAGTCTCAACATCATTGTAAGATAGGAACGATCAAAATGTCAATGTTTTGGTCGTTTCCTTACATAACAACTAGCAGCTTGCTATATTACACCGAACAACTTGTTACACTCAATCTTTGCACATTTACTTGCAGTTGTTTAAAGCTTTCTAGTGATGATTCCCCAACTTTGCCTGGTGGCAACAAGTTCCACTCTACGATAGTTGTTGGAAAATACAAGTTTTTCAATTTGAACACCTCAATTCATGGTTGATAACTCTGGTATTTGAAGGTATAACTGTGTCGAACAACTGTGTCGAAAATCTGGTTTACAAATGGGCTTCATTTTGTTCTGGAGTACAAGACTAGCTGAGGACAGTTTATAATAAACAATTATAAACAGCGAGCAGATTATTATTGGATTGAGCAGAGCACTTTGGACTAATCTCTCTGGCTGTTCACAGCTTAGAGGTACATATCCAATATTTTGTCAAAAACATCTCTGTTACATAGCGGATCATAATGACCCCCAGCGGGGGTCTTCACGCTTCGTTAAAAATGGAAAAATCTCAGGATTTATTCCAAAGATCTCAATATTTTAGACGAAATCTTGAGATCTTATGAGACAATCTTGAGATTTTTCATGACAATCTCAAGATCTTTCAGAAAATCTTAAGATGAAAATGAAAGGTCTCAAGATCTTTCCAAGTTGTTTTCAAAGCATCTTGAGATTTTTTCATAGCATCTCGAGATGCTTTAAAAATGTCAAGATTACTTTATAAATCATGAGATCTTTAAAAAAATCTTGATATTTTTTAAAGCATCTCGAGATGCTATGGAAAAATCTCAAGATGGTTTAAAAATATCTTGGAATATCTTGAGACCTTTCGTTTTCATCTTAAGATTTTCTGAAAGATCTTGAGATTGTGTCATAAGATCTCAAGATTTCGTCTAAAATATTGAGATCTTTGAAATAAATCCTGAGATTTTTCCATTTTTAATGAAGCGTGAAGACCCCCGCTGGGGGTCATTATGATCCGCTATGTAACAAAGATGTTTTTGACAAAATATTGGATATGTACCTCTAAGCTGTGAACAGCCAGAGAGATTAGTCCAAAGTGCTCTGCTCATTCCAATAATAATCTGCTCGCTGTTTATACTTTTCTTTTCAGGTTATCTGTACCGGTGGTGGACCCACGCGTGAGACGACCAGGACAGACGGTTGTGGAGGCAGCACACGTCGTCAAACATCACACCATGGGGGGTCTGTTGAAACGCGACATGGTTTAACCATCCAACATGGCTGACGTAGTAGAGAAGTGGGGATGGGGGCTGTTGTTATTTTACTGATCCGAGTATAGGCAGATGCAATGTCTATGTGGCTATTAATATTCATGAGTTGTTCAATTAAGAAGTGTGTAAGGGTCAATCTAGTGTTGTGTTACACAAATTTCTTGAGTTGTAAAAAATAAAGTCACCTTAAACTGGAATTGGAGCACATACCTTGAAAAGTGACCAAAAAATGCCTACACCCCTATAAAAAGGCTACAGAACTTTTGTAGTGATTTCTGCTTGTACATGTATCGTTCCACTTTGGAAGTTTGTCATGTGGACCATGAATTCTTCAGTTATAATTCCAGAACCCAGAGAAAGATAGATTTTACCAACAAGAGTTTATTTTACAAATGACAGAAATTCTATGGCATACAAATGAAGTTTTATCACAAGTGTATATAGAATGTTTTTGTCTTACATTTGTATGCACCAGGTCAGATGTTTCTGAAGAACTATGTGTATGATACTTAGATGTGTTGAACTGTAATAAAAATAACTTTTCAAAGAAAACATCATGATTTTCTACTGTTTTCTTCATATGATCAGTGCTATGAACTATGGAGCTGTATGTGACTACATCATTCTCCTAGTTGCCTATCCAACTGGATTGGGCCCAGGTAGCAAGAGATTGTTGTTTTTTCATTATAAACAAGTACCTTGTTAGACAGTATAACAGCTACAAGGCTTCTTCGTACTGAAAGGCACCACATATACTATAAATTGTCAACGCACAAGTCTATAACTACATGTACATTTACAGAATATTCTGCATAATAGTCGTGTATTTCAATCTCAAATCATCAAGTAATATACTTTCATGTTGCACCACCAATCTTAGTATTTCAAAAGAATATCGATGTCTATTTGTACTGAACTAAGTTTCAACCATCCATAACGTCACACAGAGTATCAGACGAAGATGAAGCCGTATCCCCGGTACCCGCTGCAGTAGCAGTTTTCCTGACGGGAGTGTTTCTTCCAGGACCCGCGGCACCCCGTGGCCTCCACCGCCGTCCACCTGCCGGTGTTGGGCCCGCTGGCCCCGTCCCCGCGGCAGTGCATCTTCCTATCCATGGCGTGGGGCTGACACTCCACGCACACGTTCGCGCCGGCCCGCAGCGTCCGCGTCCACCCCGCCAGGTAGTTGGAGCGGAGACGGCAGGCAGCCGAGGCCGAGGTGATCCGGAAATTCACACAATACCTTTTAGAAGAAAGATGCGAAGAAAAACATATTTGTATGCGTTTTGACTATCTTTACAAATTCTGAATTAAGTCATGAAAATATCAGCAACCAAACACAGAGGGTAACGTTGGGTAATAGCGCTCGCATTTTTTTATCTTTCAAAAGTCACATTGAGCCGCGACGGGGGTCGCTACCAACTACAAAACACCTTTGACCGGTTACTCACGCCACACTTCCGAGAAGTGACGTATTCTAGACAATTGCGAATTCGGTTTTTATGAAGACAGAGGATTATCACTCGTCGAAACGTAAGTATGAGGTCCATCTGTAGAGTTGAATGAATTAGTAACCGTATGGTGGTTTGACGGACTCACATGTGTGATTTTCTGGTATCCATGATTAGCCCCATGGCTCCTTTGGGCTCGTCGCTCAGCCGGAGTTGTCCGAAGGACGCTGGGAGAATGTGTGCGACCTCTGCACAAGAAAACGGGGACAAGAAACACAGGTAAGTTCTATAGTATGAAACTGCAGTAAGTTAATAGCTGCAATCTACAGGAGGGCGCAAGTGGGCGCACCTGTATTACCCATTCTTTATGACGTCGACGCTAGCCATGTCAAATATCAGGTAGATATACACAAATGTTAATTTTCTATCAGTAGTTAACCACGAAAGTATATGGAAATACATAAATGTACCAGTTAATTTTCTATCATTAGTTAACCACGAAAGTGTGCTGGAAATCAAAATAAAATAGTCTTAATGACTACCAAGGTTTATTTGACAGACATTAGGGTGATTTTCGTACACTAGTAACGTTAGATAATCTGGTGTGTTCTTGAGAGATCTTGAGAGTGTAAGAGCGAAGTTATCGAGTGTTGTACTCGTACCTTTCGTGGCTGCCGAGCACCAGTAGCCGTAGTTGTAGCAGGCTCTCTTCTGCACCAGGGGCGGGCAGGCTGGGCCCCCACCCCGGGGGGAGGTCAGCACATACCGCCTTCTCTCGCTCACCCCCTCCCCGCAACTCACGGAACAGCCGCTCCAGCTTCCCCACTCACTCACTTGGCACGCCACGGCTAAAACAACAGGGAGGGCGGGTTAGAAAGATGCTGAATACAACATACGTTAAGAAGTCCTTACATTCTGCGGTTACCTAAAACATTAAGTTATAGTCATAGCATAGGGCGGTGTCCATCACCGCTTCTATGGCCCTTGGACCACGCAGTTGTACAAGGACTACAGCAGGGGACTAGCCCATTGATATCACGTTCTGTAAGATAGACCACACTCACTCCATACTACAAAGAAGGGCTAGCAGCATATTGCAGCCAAAATATAGCCTTCATAGCTCTCTCGTGAGTTCAAATTTCTTGCTATTTCAGAGTTGTATTGACATTGTTGTTCTAACTGTGATCTATGTATTTTTCGCCGCCAAGGCTTGTGAGAACACGGAGACTTTTGACCTGTGCGTTTGAAAGCCGCTTCCTCAGACGACATTCATGACATCTCTAATGGAAGAAAATTACGTGAAGAAAAACATGCAGACTTCTGACGTGCCCCAGGGTCGCCATCTTGAAGGCTTTAAATGACAGGCTGCAAGTACTGTCTATGGGAAAGGGCGTTACAAGTCACGTAAGGAGTGACAACGTGTGATGAAGTGCTAAAGAGGTCTTCATTCAATGTCGTCCAAAAGGAGCTACGGGCACGTTAAGATCAGGTGTGACCTTGTCAAGTGTCTTCTGGGACTCTTCATGGACTAAGACACTGTACAGAGTCAGCGATTGCACTCATCATACCAGAGCAGGTGTGCTTTGATAGAAACCTGCTGTTAGGCCAAGTCAGGTCAAGGGCGGTGTGTCTACAGGCTGACTCACACATCCCATCCCTACCCCGTCTTGAATGGATCCTCCCGGTCTTTCTTTAGAGGAACGTACGTCCCCTCCAGAAGCAGATCTCGAAGCAGTAAGAAAGGAAAATCTCGTTTGAAATTTTGCCAAAGGGGAACGAAAATCCGTAGAACATGGTCACAAACTTCCCCCCTGCATCTGGTTGAAGAATACCCATGGTGTTTACCCCTTCGCGACATCTAAAACTAATTGTGCACAACGAAGCCAACTTTTATGTTTTCAACGATTTTAAAGTTTGGGAATGAAAACTTCAGTTCAGTCTGTAGTCTTTCAGTTGGTGAAAAACTTGTTTTTGAGTTCTGAGACTTTCTTCGGAATTCCATTTTCCCAGAACAGCATTAAGGCGTGGTCTAAATCCTATTTCATCTCAAATCTACATAACTGCATTTTATGAAAGCAAATGTTTATTTTACATGTAAGCGGAGGTATCCAGGGGATACCACAGAGATTAAGTTCTAGTACCGGTAATCCACCATTCCTCATTGCGCTGATCCCGAGATTTGCGACATGCTATTTTCAGGGCTAAATCGTGCGAAGAATCTGGGTGGGTGAGTGGTGGGGAGGGGGTACAACAGATGGGAAGTTCACATGAGATATGAATACAAAAAATTCTTCTTTTCTTCTTTTTCATCCGTCTTTATGATGATTGATTAGGTTGATGGTGTAGCTGACAGAATGTTAACCTTCATAGACACTGGTACAACTCTATCGCCTTATGTGGCTATACCCTCTCTCCAGTTTCTCATTCTTACAAAATTCTGGGTCAGTACTGATAGGCAAGTGGGCACTTCCGTCTTGCGTTTTGTATTGCGTTTTGACAAACTATATGCAATACCTCATCAACAATACAATACCTCAACGATGCCATTTCTAACCTCATATAGAATTTGAACTAGTGAACTTGAATCTGAAATCGTGAACTAGGCTTTGTAGCCGTTGAGGACTGGAAATTTAAAAAAACAGCCAACAACTGGCAGCAGTCACGATTGAACTCCCGCCAAAGCCAGATGTCTTTTTCGTACAACATAAGCTGACATTTCACAACTTCAACAGTTCCAACATTGAAGTTGGACTTGTTTAAGCCAAGGGTCACGTAAAGAGTACATCACGAGAAAATATGGTAAATGTTTTTCTTATCGGCTGATCTTACACTATATATATCTTTAAACGTGCAGAATTTAAAACTAACGCTATACAGGTCCCCATACATATATCACATTTTAATTGACCACTTTAAAACTAATGCATCCACTGGACCAAGTATTGTGTTGTTGTTTTTTTCCTTGATTGAAACAAGTTCATGAACTGTTTAGTGTTTCAGCGATTTTGAAAAGCAGGGAACCTTCTACGTCTTAAAGCTAGGGAACACATGAAATATCTGTTGTCATCAGACACATGTATCATAATCAACCACTTGTACAACCTTTTTCCATTTTTTAAGTGTCCGTCTGTGAGAGCCTTGTCTCTCTCTTCTTGATACAGATGGTACAGGCTAGGCAAACCTTCCTAAATATTTTCCCAGCTTCAGTGGCCTTTAGGCCGGTCCTGTGGTCAGGGCGCGCTGCCAACATTCTTTGTAGGCTAGAGAGATGCTCTCTTATCAGACGTTTTAAAAAGTACTGTCTCCTAGATGTATGTTACACTGATGTACACTTATACTGTGCTATGTATGTCTAATCCAATATTTGATTAAAACATATACATATGCTACTGCTCTATTGTTGAATGTAACATGTATAAGACTTGGAAATGGAAAACAAAGACATAAAATCTTATGTATCTGTACTGTAGCCAAGTACATTCTGTACGTGAACATGATGATATTTACACAACTGCTTGACCATGATGATTTCATAACCAGGACTTGGACACAGGAAAAGATATCCCTTTAGAGGAAATATAACCCACGCAATCCGGTCATACAATCAGCTTCTGTACGTACAATGTGCGCTGCCTATTAGTTGCTAAAGGAGACATTTCCTTGGCCTCAAATATTTCAAAACGTTGACATCTTTCAACCGGAGGGAAAGTGTGACTTGACGCTATTTCTAGATCTGAATTCATCGTTAATGTAGTTTTAGACAGAACCCTTTATCTAAGAAGTACTGCGAAATTTTATTTTGTCACGCCTCTTATGTTCTTTGAATATCTAAAATACTTTTTAGCGATACGTACTGTTTAGATAGAGATAAAGAAAACATGTTTTCACATCATTCATCGCAAATCATCAGATGTCTAGCCAGCAGCGATCTTCAGCCTTGGATATCCAGCTGTTATTCCAAGTTCCATATTTTTATGTGAAAACATCGCGATTGTCTAACTGGTACTAGTATATATATCATTTGGAATGACGATCGCAAAACAGAAGAAGACAGTTACAATCAGGAAGACATTTGAGATAATTATCTTCGAAGCTTGTGTTTGTTTGTCTTTAGCATTATTTGGCTTATTGACTTTATTGTCTGTGTATAATTTTTCTACGGGTTTTTCTAATGCTACACACCGGTACCGAATTCACCAAAAAACACTTTCAGCACTGGCACTCCCACCAAGTGTGGCAGAATCATCAACAAGTTGATATTGGCCACCTAACCACAAAGAAGGGACCGGTAACAGCAAGCAACAGCACAAAATAAACAAACAAAAAATCCCTGGCATGGGGCTACTAGTACTCCCTAATTGGCATACTTTAAAATTACGCGTGTAACTCAATATTCTATCCTTCATGAAGCGTTATTCATATACTACATTTTATAACCATCACACTGAGAGTTTCTTTAGCAGAGATAAAGAAGGTAATTGTGAGGCGCTAGTCGAGGTCACAAGGCCACGACACAAAAATGAAAGTCGTATTCTCCGAGGACGTCTGACATACTAGACATTGCCATCTGTCTCAAACCAAACAATCCATCGCCAATGTCACAGGGACCACCCCGGATAGCCTCTTATCTGTGAATGAATGCCAGGCATTGTATTTCTCATAATATCCGTTAAAACACTTGTCACATATTCATTGTTTCTGCGTGATCGCCCAGTCTAGTCATAATGCATGGTCGTTATAGTTATTAACACACACTTCGAAATTCGAATGCGATCAGGACAGAGTGTCAAGTGGACAACCCGCTGGCTTGGAATTAAAATGCTTCTGTCTCCTTGGGTAAACAGGAATTGTTTTGATAATTGTTGGTGATTAAGGTCCGATTTGTCACCTGTGTTTACAGACAAGCTGTCAAAATCAACTTGACTTTTCCCCTCCCGCGAGTGGACGTTATCAAACGAGTTGGGCACGTTTTCTTCCGGAGTTGGTGTGTGTCGCACACAATTGTCGAGTCACTGTCAAAAACCAACTGAAGTCTAATTTGGATCATCATTTCTATCTCCTTTATTCAATTAATAGACTTCGTAAGTTTCAGATGTACAATTTTTGTGTTCAAGTCCACATACCACAAAACTACAACGTTGATACCACGTTGATACCTTGAAACCACGGCCATATCTTACACAATGGCATTCACTGAAAGACTGTTAAGTACAGGGGCGTGACTCTATCTATTAACACTAACTTGTTACATGCTCCTGGGGTTTAACATTGAACATGTGGAATGCTTACAAATTCCTTCTAGAGTTATAAAAACGCTTGATATCACGTCTATGGTGTTAGCTAGATACCACTGTGGCTAGATACCATTGTCACAGCTGTTGAGAAATTGTTTTGTAGAAAAACGGAGTGTTTTGGTTCTTGAATGTTTCTGTATCGCGTGTTTGTAACCAATGACTCATATAATGTCCTTGTTGTAACTAAACGTGCTCCAAGGCACCAAGAGTTAAATACCTAGAGAGACTTTTTGACTCTGAACTGAACCACGTGAAAACGAGCACCAAGTGACCACGTCTAGCGATATATTAGACTTTAAACAAGGACAACAACAACAACAACAACATCTTTCCTGAAGTGTGACCATATGTTACAGAATGACACGTGAGTGGCAACATCCGAAAGAATGACAGTCATTTCTAGTTTGACACGTTTGGAGTCTTTCCTTTGTCACTTCTAGTCTAAATAATTATAGGACCCTGGTCAACACAAGTGTCGGGCGGCCGTCAGAGTTTACGAAAATGTCATAGGAAGAATGCCCGCAGTATATATTGCAACTAGAGTTCCACGATCT